TAATTTGAAAAAATTGATAACTTGAGTAAATGTAGGTTATTTTTACACCATTGGGTCGATACTCATACACAGGCGGCTTTAAGGTTATCATATTAATATTTAAACAACAAACAGGAAATAAACACTGTATTTTTAGCTTCATTCCTTATGTAGGATAAGCATAGTTTTCTTGTCTGCATTTAGTTATCTACAAATTTTAATGCATTAATATTGGTAGTTAGCTCTAATGAGTGCTTTCTGTATACCACACTCTGCACAGTACCTTAAATGAGTTAAATGTTATTTAATCCTCACAAAAGTTAATATGCTGTTACTGTCCTTTTCTTTAGAGATGAGGAAACCAGGGCTTAGGGAACTTAAATCATTTATCAGAGGTCTCAGCGAGCTCCATATCTCTGTCACAGCTCTTTAAGTACTGTTTTTATGATCATAAAAATGATATTAAATTGTTCTATATCACTTGCTAGATGGACTATTGATGGGCTGGTCTGGGAGTTCCTGCAGAAGGTTATTTAGCATATTAATAGTATAAATTACTTTTTCTTGTTGTTCGGTTAGCTGCCTCTATTTCTATTGTGGTGATAATTTTGTTGAGCAGTAGGGAAAAGGAGAAATCATTCCTGGAGGAGGATTCTTAGAAATCATTTGGGTTGATCTACCTGCCCTAATGAGGAAACGAATCCAGGTTGCTTAGCAGTCATTTTTGGCTTTTGTCCATAGTCATAGTCATTATCCTAAGGATATTTAGGTTTTATTGTCATTGTAGCATGCTACATCCTTCCCCTTAGAAAAGGAAAAAAAAAAAATAAGGATAAATTTTTCTTATAGTAGTAATTCTATCAAAATTCTGGAATTTATCAGGTTGCTAACTTTTCAAATATGGATGAAGATGACATTGAGTTGGAACCTGAAAGAAATTCAAAGAATTGGGAGGAAATCATTCCAGAAGATCAGAGAAGACGATTAGAAGAAGAAGAGAGACAAAAAGAACTTGAAGAAATATATATGCTCCCAAGAATGAGAAATTGTGCAAAACAGGTAACTGTGATTAAAAAAACGTCTATAATGTAAGAATATTCACCCTGTACTTATTTTTTTTTTATCTGTGTGAAGTATTGGTCCATAGTTTGTTTTTCTTGTAATGTCTTTGATCTAATAGTGTTTTTCTTGTGAAATGAGTTGAAAAATGTGTCTTCCTCTATTCTATGTTTAAAA